GATCTAGCCAGGAATGTCTACCGTTTACAGTTCATTATTGGAAATCTGAACACCCCCTCCCTACCCCACCACCATACCTTCAAACATGTATTTATACACTTCTGCTGGGGAGGAAAAAAGTAACCTGGCCAATTGAGCCAGGAATGTCAGCAGAGCATTTCTCAAAAGGCAGTCCTAGGAAATCTGCATCAGAATCCCCGGGCAGGCTATTAAACAGGCAGCTGGGCAGCTGCCTGGTGTGGGTGCACAGCGGGGCACTGGCCCTTTAACAAGCTCACCAGGAGCCCGGATGCCCAAGAAAGTAAGGGAATCACCACAGTGGTTTGGGCTGTTCCCAAGGAATATCTGCATTTTGTAAAATTGCAGTGCTTAACCCAAAGGGATGGATAATTTTGTTTCAGGAATCGATGCACCTAGTAGCACATTTTGGGCATAGCAACCCTTCTTGAGGCTGGAGGACCCTGCCCACATCATGCCATGTAGAAGAGGACCATTTCCACACAGAGCTGGCTGAGCAGCTCACTGGCTTGTAGACAGTGTCCCCTGGCTTCTTGAGATTTAATCATTCCAGATGTCTGATTACCTGGGGAAAGCAAGGGTCTTTCTTTGCCCCTCTCTGGAGGCTGTTCAAGCAGCTTTTTCATCGGTGACAGGCAGTGGCAATCTTCTCAGGGGGCAATTCCTTGTAAAGGGACCCTTTGGACTGGGCCTGGGGTAGGGAGGGTCAGAGCCTAACTACTCCTGTGGGGTGGCCTCCAGGATACAGTATGAGGAACATGGGTGCTTAAGTCAGGCCCTCCCTCATGGGCCCCTCAGGCCCCTGCCCTAAGAAGACACAGTACAAGCCATGTATAGGTCTCCTGACGCACAGAACTAAGAACTTAAGAGAAACCTATGAGGACATAAAACCAACACCCTCATTTTTCCTATGAGGAAATTGAAGTCGCCAGTAGCCTTTGACACTGGGGTACCCACCATGTCAACTAGAAACCTGTGGATAAAAACGTCTGGGTTTGGGGCCTTGGGTTCAGAACTAGTCACAAACAGAAGGAACGCAGGCTGGGAGGCAGATGACAAGGGATTCAAACTGATCTGACCCCTAAATCCAAAAGGCTTCAGTCTCATTTGTGAAATGAACAGGCTGGACAATGTTCCTAAACCTCTGATGGCTTTGGCTTCCATGGTGGCCAAGAAGCTGGGAATGGGGCAGGGGCAGAGTCTACATGGGACCATCGGGGAGCTCTGTGAAGACTCATCTGGGCTCTGCAGCATCTGGTTTTTCATATCTTAATCACATCAGCGTGATGGATGGTCGTGGGACCCAGATTACATTATGGGGTTAATTTATTACATTTTTGAATACCCATTTGCTGGGAGACTGTTTTTCAAAGTTATTTGCATATTTTTCACCATAATGACAATATGTAGGAGGGCGGCTAGGAGGGAAGGATGGATGTTTAGGAGGAGAGAGATGTTATTTGCCAACTGGAGCAGGTCCCTGAGGGTCTGCAATGGGGACAGAGAGAAAATCACTCCCAAGAGAATTTTAAATGAAAACCGAGAAGGCAAGCTGCAAGAAAGAGTGAGTGCCAGCCCAGTACAGACGAAGGCCTGCATGAGCAGGGGAGGATTCTTGAGGTTTGCTGAACAAATACATGGTGATTGAATGGGTAGTGTCCAGACCCCTAAGATGCTTCCAAAGCCCCCTTCCATACCCACCAGGCTGATCACAGGACATATCATCTATCCCACCCTGCCTAAGGTTCCCAGACACCAAACACACAGGTCAGGTAGGGGGGCAACACATATAGAGAGTGATCCACACATAGCCTGGTGACCATCCCACTGACACCCTGACGCTCGGGGGCCCAGTCTCATTCATTCAGTCCAACACCTCACCTATTGCCTCAATTCAGGGTCTCAATGTGTGTGTGTTAAATGAGTGAATGAAAAAATGACAGAGAAATGAAATGATGGGGGACTATGACTCATTACTAGTAGATCTGCAACATAACCAGCGCCACTTTAGACAAGCCCAAGTACAAAATGGCACTCCTCACCTCCTCCCCTTCCTTCCCCCCTTCCCTTTATGAGAAGCCTCCTGACTTAAACAGAAACCCCTTTTGCTTCTGCAAGGAGGCAGTTCTCCACCTGGATCCACATTAGCATAATGACCCTCCTTGATGGTTTCATCCAGCTCTTGGCGCCAATATACCAATATAAGCTCACCACCCCACACCTGGTGCTGTCCCCTTTCCAGGGCATCCCTGGGCTGCCTGCTACTTTGAGCACAGCCCAGCAGATTTCTTTCTTTAATAAAGCTTGAACGGTACCCAGCAACTTGGCTCACTTTCTTTCAATTACCACCTGGCTGACTTGAATCCCAACTTAGTCTGGATGAGGAGCAAAGACCCCTGACTTCAGTGATTGGGCTGTAGGTGGTGGTGTGCAGATAAAAGCTGTTTTTGAAAACAAAGCAGGGGATCCGCACTGTTCCTTCCGATGCCCCCCACACCCACAGGGCCTGCTCATGTGTCCAACATGCTGCTTCTCTCCCCAGCACTGCTCCTTCATTACCTGTGAGGCTCTTCCCTCTCTGAACCTCAGTTTGCTCATCTGTAAAATGGGATAATGGTAGCTCCAATTCCATAGGGTTGAACAAAGAGTAAATGAGATGTTTGTAAAAATATAAAGTGCACAGTGCCTGGCACGTAAATGCTCAATGAATGACCATTGTGACACTGATATTAGAATCTACACACACTATTTAAGCCCCCAAAGCAATCACTCTGGACAAAACATCATGCTTTTCAAAATCCCATCCAAATCACCTGTGGCTGCACCTTCTTCCCATTTCCATTTCCCAAGACAGCAAACAGCTCTCAAGGTGCCCTAGGGAAGACATGCATCCTCATGGCACAAGTTCCCTAAAGACAAGGGGCTATGGCTGACAGATAGGTCCTCCCCTGCTCATCTGGCCTCCTGGTGTGAGGCCTGACCTGCAGCTCTGCCCCAGAACCTGGGGTCCACTGCTGACCTCGGACCCGAGCCAAAGCCTTGACCTTAGGCCAGCAACACTGGGTGGCTTACAACACTTCAGCCAGAGCAAAGCCCACACGTGCCATTCCCTCCATGGGGTTCTGCTGACTCTCCAGTGGTGCTGGACCCTCACTGGTCAGGGGAAACTTACAAATCTCTTCTTAAACTTTGAGCTTCTACCCAGAGAAATGCACAGACACAAATGTCTTAGACAATTTCAGGAGTTTCCAGATCCTCTGAAGCCATCCTGGACCACAAGTTAAGAACCTCCGATTCAGCTCAACTGCCACTTTAAGAAAAATAAATAACTTCTTTATCAAGATACTGTCCTCAAACCATAAAGTCCATCCTCTTACTATGCAATTCAGTGGTTTTTAGTGTAGTCACAGAGTTGTACATCAATTTCCACAATCTAATTCCAGAGCATTTTTACCTCT